AATCCCAAACAAAACTTTGCAGAGAGGAAAGGGACCAAGAAAAACAGTCAAATCCTAAAAATGCCATTTGCCTGCTAATCTCTAACACCTCTTTTTTTTTTTTTTCCTTTCTTCTCTCTAGTGTTATTACATTGGAGCCACTAGTGATGCAGCCACAAAAATCATTAATGAGGTGTCAAAACCCCTTAGTCATCACATTCCTGTGGAAAAAGTCTGTGAGAAACTGAAGAAAAAAGACAGCCAGATCTGCGAGCTAAAATATGGTGAGTTCAGGTAGCTTTTAATTCTCTGGTTCAGAGGTTGGCAACCTTTCAGCAGTCCCCCTGCCCAACCCCTTCCCTCCTCCTCCCTTACCCTTGGTTGAAGATACTTAGTCCCTTTGCAGAAAGAAACAGCTCAGGCAAGAGAGCAACAGGAGGGGCTGTTGTCCCAGGCAAGATTGAACCTTTCCTGGGCTGACTCAAGCCTGTGGATGGAACTGGGATTTTGAAGAGAGACAATATGGGGCATCATCAAATATAACACAACACATTTTTCTCCAGTTAAAGAGAAACTAGAAGCTTTATTAATATGATAGGTACCTAGCACTATATTAGGAGCTTAAGATCAAACCAAAAACCAGTATAACTATTGGAACATGCAATAATTTGCTAGTTATGTATATAAAATTAAGAAGTCACAACAAACTAGGCAAAAAGTGGTCAGAATAGTCAAAAGTTATTATGTCATAAGTCCTGTAGTCATTACAGTTAAATATACAGCTCTTACTCAGATTTGTAAAACAAAATCTAGCCTTCTTAAGCATCTTCCCAGTGCCTGCAATACTTCACTGTCAGTCATGTCTATGCCTGCTTTAATGTTACTACACCTGAGTTAAAGATTTTTATCTAGAGCTAAAAACAGTCTGCAGAGCTGTGAAATGGAAGAGACATATTACCAGGAATGGCTAGCAGATAGCAAAATTGCAGAAGAAAGGGTAGTTTGAATAGTGGACTATCAGGACCATTAGATAGGGGGTTGTTGACAACTGTAGAGTAGGGAGAGATTTTCCTTTTAAAAAAAAAAAATCCATGCCCCAAGTCAAATCAGCCCAATCAATTCCAAATCTGTGAGTCATTCAAGAACCATATGTGGCCCTACTACCAGCAAACATCCTCCACCCCAGCCTGGGGCTTCAGATGTTTCCAAAACCTTTGGTGGGTGTCCTACGTGCAGGCCCAAGCCCAGAGACATAGGGTTCAGATGCCACTGAGTCTTACTTGCCCCCAGCCATATGGCTGCAGGAGCAAGGTAGGGAGGAGTCTCCCATTTCCATGAAGTCGATGTATAGCCAAGATCATCCCACTGAAAGTTAAAGTGGGAGGCTAACTGTGCATTACCCTAGTCAGGGTACTACCTCTTGCCAAGGAAGTGGTTTTCCCCTGCCAGTAGGAAAACCGCCTTAGTGGTCGTGGTATTTCCCCTGTAGAGTGGAGAGAGATTAGCAGGAATCGGGTAGATACTGAGCCAGGAAATCAGTTGACTTCGTGAGCACTACCTGAATAGAAAGGCACCCAGTGCCCCTTCCAGGTAGTTGGTTCTAAAGTTTGGGTGGAGCAGGAATCAAATGGGAGTGCAAGTGCATTCCTCCCCTGTGCTGTTCCCTCTTGATCTGCCCCTGCATGGGCCGTGGCTTGCAGACCCTGTGTCTAGCTAACTGATCAGTGATCGTGCTTCTCTGCAGCATAGATCATCGATTAGCAGTGTAGCATGCATTGGCTTCTTTCCATGGTGCATATTCTCTTGTAAACTAGCTTTGAAGTGGCATCTTTTGAAAGCTAATGGAATTGATCTACTTGCTCTTGTGTTTCCATCAAGATTGCTGGCAGAACTTGGTTTTCTGTTTGTGCTCTCACCAATGTTTGTTCTGTTGCCTCAGCCCATCATGTCAGCTAACATTTCTGATTGCAACTGGAAATGGACTGTTATGGCAGAAACTAACCCAGTTCTCAATTTCTGCATGTATTGTTTATTATTATAGTTATTCCAAAGCCTTAGTCTTTAGTTGGAATCATTAGTTCATAAACTAGTATTGGGCAAGGGGGTTTTGAAGGAGCAGTATGTGTCATTATAGACTGTATTGATTTGTATTTATTAGGCCTGAGGCTATTGGCAGCAAGGCTCCTCATTGCCAAGGTGCATCAGAAGAGCTTACAAGATGCTAATTTTATTTTAAGCAATTCTCCTTGTTCAGTGGAAGACTGGCTTTAATTTTTACCCCATGGAAAGTGCTCACATTGGTCAAAGATGCTCAAGCATTGGGATTTTTGTTTTTACATTTGAACCACTTAAGTTTCCATGACTGCTATCTCCAATCCTTGCTGATTACTCCCTTCAAGTTACCTTTTTATCTTAGGGGACAAGCAAGGAGAAAAGATGACTGAGTTGGCTTCATCTACTGTTATCCTCACATCTATTTCTGATTTTTCAAATCAGTCTCCTCTTCTTGTTCATTCTCCTTGGGTGTCCTAGTGCTTTGTAAGCTTTCTGGCATGCTTTGTGTATCTTAAGACCATATCTTCCCCAGAGAAGGCAGAGGACGATTTTGTTATCTTTACTATAATAAAGTTTACTGTTCTGAAGTTAGCCTGGGTTTAAGAATTAAAAGGTGTCCCTAAACCATATGCCTTTCTGTAGCACAAAATCCCTTGTCCTTTCCCTCCTTCCCTACTGCCAGACCTCATTCCATGCCCTTTTTAGCTTATGTGTACTCCTCTAACTATAGGCCCTCTTCTCTGGTCTTACTTTTTTTTAATCTATCCAGTTTTTAACACCTGAAGTGTGCTCAGTCTCGTTACTTTGCCCATCTCATTCTTTCCCCTCCATAATCTTAACTGATTCCATGTTTTTTGTACCTAACATTAAGCTTTATCAGCTGTATCTCTGCTTTTCTATCAGCACTTCACCTTTAATTTTTTCTGTCCTGCCCTCTTACATATTACGCCTGTTCACAGTTGTTATAGTTCCTCTGTTCAACAGCTGTGTGTATGTCCTGGTTATTTGAGCTCTTGAGCACAGTTCCTATTTGCATTTTTCTCCCTTCCTGCCCTGCCTCGTTCTCTTATTAAATTGCAACATAATGCCCTTGATAGCTTTGTTTTAAGCCTCATTCTGCCTTCCCTTTCCTCTTTATATTCTTTTTCAGTATAATGTAGATTGGGGCAGAAACTTTAAAAGCACAAGGCCTTTCTTAGTGAAAGACATAAGGAAGGTAGGCAGTTACTTTATCTCATAGAGAAGCTGTCACAACCCCTTCTAAGAAGTGATTTTTTTTTTCTTTACTTTGAGTTACTGGTGTTCCTTTCTTTCTGTAGACAAACAGATTGACCTGAGCACTGTGGACCTGAAGAAACTGAGAGTGAAAGAGCTGAAGAAGATCCTAGATGACTGGGGTGAAACATGCAAGGGCTGCGCAGAGAAATCAGACTATATACGTAAAATCAATGAACTAATGCCTAAATATGCACCAAAGGCAGCCAGTTCACGGACGGATCTCTGACCACTGTGGCAGTCTCCATCCTGCTAGAACCTCTCACAAATTACATTAACCTCTCTATTTTGTTTCTTAAGCCTTTTTTGTAACTTATTTAAGCGGGCTTCTACCAGTGTCAGACTTGGAAGTGTGGAGCGATGTGTGAAATGCTGGTTTCACAGCCCCCATTTTGTCTCTAGTTTGTATTTCTCTTGCCTCTGGTTTGCTTTAGGACATCACACTATGTATGGGATTTTTTTTATTAAAGTAAAAAGAAATCTACTCTTTCTGGGCCTCGTGAGAGGGTTGAGCTTAGTCCTGTGGAGGTCTCTGCATCTCTCGTCTCCAACCTGGACAGTCAGCTGTACAAGCCGCTTCCTCTGGTCACTGCCCTGAGCAGAGGTCGTGCTGCAGTTGTTTCCTTGTGTGACTCCTGACCCTCCCCCAATCTGTGCTGCTTAGGGTGGCACCAGAACCACCCCCACCCCCTCTGCCCAGCTCTCCTGCTGCAGCCACCTTGTGCCACTGCCCTGAGGCCTTTGCCAGGAGGTGCCCGAGACAGCATGAGCCAAGCGGCCTGAACTTCGCTACTTGTCCTTTAAAACGCTGGCCTGGGGCTTGAACGGCCCTGCTCCGTGTTCCCGCGGCAGCGGCGCAGGGGCCGCCTTCTCAAGCGCTGACAGCTGCTCGGTCTCGCTCCCCTCGCCCCTGCCCCGCACGTGAGGCCGGAGCGACCCGCGTTGCACGTGTGACGGTGGCAGGGCCGTGTCCCGCTGTGGGGGAAGGGGGGTCGCGCGGACCGAGTCGGCGGCGGTTGCTGCGCACATAGCTGAATCAAGGCGCGGCCACGCGGAAGCGGAAGTGGCCTGGCCCGGCGCAGCACTGCCTGGGGGAGAGGCGGGGCCAGGGCTCCTAGCCCCGCCCCCGCCGCCCTACTGGTTGCGCCGCGTCACGTGGTGTGGCCCGGGCGCGTCTCCCCTGTCACGTGGGCCAGGCGGCGGGAGCCGGCGCGCGCCTGACGCCACCTTGCGGCGGGCGCGGGTTGATGA